AGTGGCGTCTGGCTATTTCTGAAGCAGGGATTCTTGGTGGGGGAGGGGCTGCCCCTACATTCCTGTACATTAAAGGAGTGTGTAGTCCACAGTGTTATGAGTGCCGCCTGAGGCTGTCTGAAGGGTTAACTTTAAGGAGCGTAGAACAGAAAGCTACGTTTCAAAATGGAGAAGACCAAGAATATGTTTTTGTAGTTAGACAAGTGACTCTTCATTTGTTGAATGCCTTAGAGGAAGTGAGAAAAAACATAATTCTACTGAAAACCTGAGTTTAAATATGAGTTAATACATGAAACCATAATTTGACTTTGGTAATTTCACACTTAAGTGTTTAAATTGTATTGTAATTCTTACCAATCAGATTTTTAAATTTCTTAAAATTGTTTAGCTAACTGTAGTTCAAGATGAGACCTATATGTTTGTAATAAACATTTATGAATATTATAAATTAACATTTTGGCAGGGCAGATATAACTGAACATCATCTTTGTCCCTCGCATTTAAATCTGAAGAATCGTTGTTTTTGGTGCTGGGATTTGAGTCCAGGGCTTATACTAACTTCCTTGGCAAGTGTTTTTACCCCAGAGCTTTGCCTGGGCCCTGAAATTGTATTCTTAAGAGAGACAGACTCCTGCTGTGGCTCCCTCGGTAGAGGGCTCCAACAGCCTGTGTCAGGTCCTGGTTCCACTCTTGAACTGCTCACAGACTTAATGATACTTTACCAAATACAGTTATTTATCATGTTTCTGCAAAGGTTTTAATAACATTTTTGTCCTGACTGTATTGCATTTCATTTGTGAAGTACATTTTTCAACTATTTAGTGAATACCAAATTGCACTTCAAACTATGGTGAAAAAATTCTTGGAGTGGCAAGGATATTTGAAAGGAATTTTCAAAAACTGGCTGTAAATCTACTTCGCTTTGACACATGTACATTGGTTACTCAGTGTTACATGTAAAATGCCCATATAAAAACACAATTCCACTGTATCCTACATTTGGCTGATAGACAAGTAAATGATTTAATTGTACTGGCCTTCTCTATTGTCTCCTGAATGAAATGAAATGTCCAGGTGTCTTAAAACAGCTGGCAGAAGACATTTGCAGGCTTTCTTTGCTTAGAGCAGTTAGGCCTTCTGCTTTTCATCACAGCCACTAGGTGGCAATCACACGGTGAAGCCTAAGCTTTAGTGGTGGTGACAGCTGAAATGGTTGTCCAAATTAAGCCATGTGCACTCAGCAGTGACACGCTTGTGAAGGAAGTGGACTGGCTGTGTTCTTTGCTGAAACATATTTTTAAGTGAGATAAGATTTCTGTTTGTTTCACGGGAGCTTTTACTTTATCTTTCCTTGACTATTTGCTTCAAATGTATCTGTGAAAACTGAATTGAGATAAAAATCTCCCTATTTATGCTGATCTAATGTTTTATGTTTTGCTTCTTATGGTAATCACTTCAGTTTTACTAGCTGATAGTGAATTAGTAGGATTTAAAGTATGTTACAGTAAGTAGCCAGACATGGGGACTCCCGCCGGTAATCCTAACTACTTGAGAGGTTGGGGCAGGAGGATCAAAAGTTTGAGGCCTTGCATTGAAATAAAAAGGGGGCTGAGATGTAGCTCAGTGGGAGAGCTGCTTTCCTAGCATGACTGAGGCCCTAGGTTCAGTCCCCAGCACCCCCCCCTCCTCTCTCTCTCTCTCTCAAGATTGTGTCTTGTTAAAAAAAAAGAATTATCTTATTTTTGAAAGTCTGTCACTGATACTTCACCATAGTGACATTGGTTATATTTTATATTAAATAATACATGTGGAATTATTACTATTACTATTACTATTGCAGTACTGGGGGTTGAACCCAGGGAGTGAAAAGTTACATCCTCAGCCCTTTTTAGGTTTTTAATCTGAGGAAGGATCTTACAGAGTTGCCCAGCTGGCCTTAGACTTGTGAACATCTAGTTCCTGCCTTGGCCTCTCTACTAACTAGTGCTACAGATGTGCACTACTGTATGCAGCTGAATTAATAGGTGTTAACATATTTAGAGTAACTTGATCTTTGTGGAAATGCAGAAGACAATGTATGTATTTTTCTATGCTTTGTCTTTGGACATATATACATTCACAAATGTTTTATCTTTTGTAAAGTATAAATGCCATATTAAACATGGAGTTGCCTTTTTATAATACACTACTGACATCTGTTGGATGTGTCATTGTGCAGTTTTTTAGACTATTGAGTGGCAATCAGCTGTTGCTTCATGTGCTTTCATGTTGTCTTCTGTGTTTTGCCTGTTTGAGCAGTACACATTCCTGAATTTATATTTCAGTGTTTTTATTTCTGTGAGGTATAAACCTAGAGTGGCTAATGCTGTACCAAGTGTATCTTTTGAAAATGTTAGATTATGGTGTGTAAAAGGAAGGATTAGGCCCTGCAAATCTTGTCTGGAATTACATTTTAATATTCATCATCTTTACTAGAATCCCTAGAAACATGTTGTTTTAATAGTCTCCTAATACTTCATCCCTAGTTGAGGCATAATAGTTCAGTTCATATCTGCAATATATGTAGTTCTCTTGAGCCAAAAAAGTGATTAAAGTGGAGTGATCATGGAAACGTGCTCAAAGAAAGTTTGGAAGGGGCCGGGGAAATAGCTCAGTAGAATAAGCACTTGGTTGGCAAGTTCAGGGTCCTGAGTTCAATCCCTGGTACCACAGAAAAGAAAAGGCCAGGGAGATGGCTCAGTAGAATAAGCACTTGCTTGGCATGTTCAGGGTTCTGAGTTCAATCCCTGGTACCATGAAAAGAAAAGGCCAGGGAGATGGCTCAGTAGAATAAGCACTTGCCTGGCAAGCACAAGAGCCTGAGTTCAATCTCCGGTTCCATAAAAAGAAAAAAGAAAAAGAAAATAAGTAAGTTTGGAGCTCATCAGTTTGCAGATGTCTTCTGCCAGTTGGTTTAAGAAACCTGGGCATTTCATTTTATTCAGGAGACAGTACAGTTAAATAATTTACTTGTCTATCAGCCAAATGTAGGATGTAGTGGAACTGTCTTATTATTTTTTAATGTATTTAGTACATTAGATTATGGATCTATAGGGTCTCACTATGTAGATTGGACTCCTAGTGATTCTCCTGTTGTCAGCCTCCCAAGCGCTGGGATTACAGGTGTGTGCCACCACTCCCAGTCTGTCGCTGTCTCAGTGCACGCCAGAGGCCGGGCTGGTAAGGCATGTCAGCGATCATACCCTGATCCCTGCGCCTGCCTCCGGAGGTGCTTTAGTCCGCTGAGCTGTCCGGCCGGCCCTGGGACTGTATTTTTTACGTGGGCATTGATTACTTTTAAGCCAAGTGAACCCTTTTGTTTAGTAATCAGTCTTCCTGGATTGGAGTGAACATTTATTATTTATTTCTCTAATTCTGTTTGATACTAGAGAAAACAGTTTATACTGTTTCCTTGATAGTTATTATTTTTTCCTTGATAGTTTTGCTTGATAGTTTTTTTCTTGATATTAACAAATACTAAATGTATTTTTAGTATTTGTTAAACTATGTGGGCTCTTTTCATTTCGTTTTCCATGATTTTATTCTAGTTTTTCTGGAAATTTCAGTCATTTGGTTAATTAAAAACACTCTTGGAATTTTGAATCACTTTGTAAATTTTTATAATAACTGAAAGTTTTATTATTTTTGCTAGTTCGTATATTTTAGTCTATCTACCCAGAAGAATACAATGTTCTTCAGCAAAATTTTAGTTTATTTTTCTTTCTTTTTTAAAAATGTATTTGGTTGTTACAGGGTCTCACCACACAGCTCAGACTCGTGGTGATCGTCCTGTTTTCAGCCTCCCCAGGGCTGGGATTCTAGGTGTGTGCCCCAACGCCCACACTCTGTTGCTGGCTCCGCCGCCCTGGGGGCAGGGCCGGTGCTACATGTGGTGCCCAGGATCGAACTGTAATCCCTACGCTTTCCTAAGCAGGTGCTTAGTCCTCTGAGCTATCTTGCTGGCCCAACATTTTAGTTTTCAATTAATTTTTTTCCCTGTATACCTTATCATTTTTGTCCAGATTATGTAGGTTTTTTTTCCTATTTTTACCTCTGCTTTTCTATCCATACTTGCTCAGTTGAGTTTGGTGAAGAATCAAATAAGACCCTAAAAAAGCACAGAATATCTGCTTGCACTTGGCTTTTTAAATTGACTTGAACCAAGTAGTCAAACCAGGGTGACTGTACAAGTAGGTGTGAAGTGAAAACCTAGTAGTTGTATGTTGTAGTCACTTGTCATATGATTTGTGAAGAGATTTACAAAAAAAGTCATTCTTTTCACTTAGATTTTAATTTTGAAACTATTTAACTTTTCATTCACATGTTACGCATATTGCATGTCATGTTTTGATTTTTTAAAAGTGATCCTAAAAAAGGTTTTCTTCATTTTAATTCTGACGTGGAAAATCTAGGCATACATAGGTTTTATATGCTCAGGCCCTTGGGTGTCCATAGTAATTAAGAATGTAAATGAATTCCCAGTCCGAAAGGTAAAGGGGTGCCTCTCATTTTCCATCCTAACTGTTGTCTGTGTAAACGCTGTGGTTAAAAATGATAATTATAAACCATAATATAATTTATTAATCCCATTAATAATATAGTTACAGGTTGGTTTGCATAAATTTGATAATATAAAAAAAGGCAAATTTCTCTTCAGGTGAAATCATTTTGGGTTCTTTCATAGATTAAAGAACTAGATTTAAACCATGTTGTTGAAAGTTATTACATACATGGATACACTCATCTCTGAATATACAGCTCTGTTTTTGTAGTGTATGTTCTCTTTTGTACTGACTGTTGCATTCTTCGTTTAGTATTTCTAAATGTGTGTCTTGTGTTACTTTACAGATCAGCCAGTGCCATGACCCTGTGTAAGTTGTAGTTATTAGCTTGGAAGATTAGGTAACTTAGAAGACAGTGATTGGCTGTACCATAAAAGTAACTTAGAAGAATTTGTCTCTGCAAAGCACAGTGACCTAAATCAGATGTGCACTCACTGTCCCTGGAATCTTCAAGGGACTTACTGCATTACATTACCAGAAGCAAGAATTATTATGGAAAGATTTCATCTGGAAAAGAAGTTACCTGTATGTACTTAGTTAAGATCTTATATTTTACTTACAAATAAGCCTGAATCTTTAAAAGTTAAATAGTGAAGCATGAAGAAATGTCAGGCTTAATTAGCAGTGGCTTAGAATAGTATCATCCTCTATGTCCTTGGTTGTCAAAGTCATCTGCTGAAGAGTAAATCCTGTGTAAAGTTAGAAATGTTTGTGGTATCTTTATTCCTCCATAAGATTAATTTTGAGCCAGTTAGAGTTATTGAGTGAGACTTTAGAAGTTACTTAGCTAAGAAATTGGGAAAGAAGTCACTTTACCTGAATGGTTAAGTGTATTTTGAAGCTAAATTGAACTGTTTGATGACTGTGAAATTACCTAGTTAATAATCAGAATTTAGGGGAGGTTTTATTTTTGGGGTGTAGCCTTATATCTTATGTAATAGAAACTCAAATTTGTATTAAGGATCTTTAATGGCTGTTTTAATAATAATTTGGTAAATCTCAGGTATCAAGAAAGTGATATGAAAGGTTTATCATATATTTATAATCTTAGTAATTAGACAAAGGCAAGGATAAGTTGTAGATTTTGCTCTTCAGGTAAGATAAATGACTAAGAGAAGTCACTAAAATGTGTTTATGCTATCAGTTATACAGTCAGTTTCTACCAAAACCAAATTCATTTGATTTTGCTCAGATTTTCATCTGTGACTTGAATTTTAACTTTATCATACGTTGATGCAGAGCTTTTTTTTTTTTCTTTGTTTATAAACTGATTTAAAGTATTAAGTACTTTAGTATGTTGAAGCTTTGTCAGAGGAATCTTTAAATGAATCTGGCAGAAATTTTTATGCAAGTGTCTTGTCCTTGGAAATATCTTGAACATTCAGTATGTGTTTATTAGAGAATTCACCAGAACCAAATACCACTTAGTGTGGTAAAATAATGGTGAGGCAAAGTGGCCTGGCTCTTTTCCATGAGGATTCTTTCCTTCTTGTGACTTATTATTCATCTGGGAGACAGACAGTTAAAGAAGTAATTGCATGCATCTGTAATTATAGATTGATAGAAAAAAACCCATGTGCTCTCAATATGTATTACAGAGATTTTTTTTTCTATATGGATAAAGAACTCATGTAACTAGCACTCCACAGACCCAGGTTTTAATTTTAATTCTTTCACTAATTGTGATCTTAAGTGACTTACATTCTATGTATATCTTTTTTTATATTTAAAAAAATGAATTGAACTGGAAAAGGAAAGCCTGTTCCATATCTGAGATTATGCTTACTCATTAGCTCTGGATAATCCTTATCAGGAGGAGTTATATTTTAGTTGTAAATTAATTGATAGGCAGAACATTTGATTGTGTTAATATCTTTTCATTCATTGGTGTATACCCAGTGTGCAGTGTGATCCTCACTGCTGAGCTGCCTTTCACAGTCCTGTAGAATTCTTTGGACCCAGGAGCACTGTCAAAGGGAAAAGCAGGCCAATAGAAAAGTATATAACTGAGAGGTTTCCACACTTCACCTATGTTTTCAGTAAAAAGGTTCAGTAGAACCGTAGAAATACTCAGCTAATGAGAACACCGAGTGGTCTGAGGATGAGAGGTCTTTGCACAACATCTGTACCCCTTCTTTTGCTGAAAAACGTTTAATTATTTTATAGATCTTTGTGGTTCTTCCAATCCCAGTCTCTGCAGAACATCAATAGAGTTAAGAGGTAGTTATAAAAGGAGCTATTTTCGTAAGAAGTTTTTAAAATTCTCATCTCTGCTATAAATTTCTTTGTTTGATAACCCTCAAATAAAGGGTTTACACATGTGTCTTGATGTGTTGTATGTTATGTACTGAGTGAAATGGAGTTTCATAGAAACCATGTAGTACTCATGAAGTATAATTTCAGTGCAACCCTGATAGGTTTTCCACTTGCTTTGTAAAGTGGCACCTGATAATAAGTTTTTTAACCTGAATCCTCATGTTACTGAATCCTGTTATTTGCCAGTATTTGTCTTACACTTCTTTGAGTTCTGTTCTCATTTTCTCTCATTTTTTACATTGCCTTTTTTGTGTGCCCTCTGAAACTTTTCATCAAATTCAAATTGTTTTTAGAGAAATTCAAATTTCAATTTGGTCATGGCACTAGAAAAACTTATAGTACATGGAAGAAATAAAATACACCCCAATGATATCAGTACAGGATTGACTCACTCTAGTTCGAAATAAATTCTTTGGTGTCTCACTTTTCCCTCTTTGCTGGGACAAAATACCCAACACCCACAATGAAGGATGGAAAAGATTATTTAGCTCATAATTAGTGGAGCTTTCAGTCCATGCTCAGCTGGCTCCAAGGCAGAGTGGCACATGGCAGAGAGCAAAGGGAAGGGTAGCAGCTCCCAGCTAGTTAGCCTCTCTCTTCTCCTTACATTGTAATGCAAATTACCTACCCCAGGGCCAAGGTGTAGCACTCATACCTGCAATCCCAGCATTGGATCAAAAATCAGTCACAAACTGTAGAAGCTGATGCATGACTGCATGAGGCTTTGGAGGGACAACTAGACATAAACCATAGCGCTTAGCTTCAGTTTCAAAATCATATTTATGAAAACTGGCTTGTAGTCCTTTGGGTCATATACTCTGTTTATCTAGTTGTTCTTTTGAAGAAACCCTAGGGTTATTTCCAATCTTTCTATGTTATAAGTACTGTTATAGTGATAACCATGATACACTTTTTTTTTTTTTTTTTTTGGCAGTACCAGGGATTGAACTCCGGACCTTGTGCTTGCCAGGCAAGCACTTATTCTACTGAGCTAGCTCCCTGGCCCCACATGTCATTTCATATGTAAATGTTTTCAGCTTTCTCTTTAATCTTATATGGATAATTAATATGTTCTTTATGTTACAGTACAGTGTTATTGATCTTATTTTATAAATACAGTGTTGAAACCAGGACTAAATAATTTCCTGAAGATCGCACTGAGTCCATCTTGCATTGATACAGTTTGGGTGTCTTGGACTGTTCTTTGTTTTTGAGTATTCATGATGCAATGACCTTATTTCTTTTCAGGTAAACTTTTAAAGCAGCAACCTTTGTGACCCATCTAAAGTTAAGAACAAAACATTGTGATGTCAGGGGTAACTCTTGCTATTTTTATTGGTCCCCTCTATTCTAGGAGGTAATAGTGAGAAAAGTCTTTTCTGGATACAGTCTTTAACTGACATATTAGCAGATTGAAATATGAATTTTTCTGAGACAGTCTCACTGTGTAGTTCAAGCTGGTAATCTTCCAGTGTCATGCTTCCAAATGCTAGGAATATGAGCCTATACCACCATGCCTGGCTCGAAATTTGAATTTTTTAAGAGCAAAAGATGTTCGTGGAAATAAATGCAACACTAGAGGATGGCTTTGCTTTTCAGTGCTTTCCATCAGGCCGTTAGCAGTCCTATTTCTCTTTACAAAGATTTAATATGTGCTTACAGTTTTTATCTAGACTTTTGAAAGACACAAAGTTGTATTCTACACACAAGTAATAACCCCCCTATCCCTCCATACTGGAGATTGGATCCAGAGTCTTGATACTGAGCTGTATCCCCAGACATTTCTATTTTTATATATTATTTATTTCATTTCATTTGTGTATTTGGCACAGGGTCCCACTACACAGATTGGACTCATGGTGATCCTTCTGTTTTTAGCCTGCTCAGCGCTGGGATTACAGGCATGCGCTAGCACATCTGTTCTCTGTGGCTGGCTCAGCATATCCCCACGGTCAGGGCTGACACGGCGTGTGGGACCGGGCATTGAACCCTGGTCCCTGTGCTTGCTAGACACAGGCACTTAGTCCACTGAGCTATCTTGCCAGCCCTTTTTTGTTTTTTGCGATGAGTTTCACTAAATTGCACAGACTGGCTTAAACTTTTGATCCTCCTGCCTCACCCTCCCAGAATGCTCAGATGATAGACATGTGCCACACTGCTTATCTTACTTTTTATTAAGAAATAATTGTGTAGTGGTGTACTAAAATGGTAGCTTTTGAAACACGTATACTTGTTTCATGAAAGCCTTGCCCCCTTGAGAAGCCCAATGGCTTTGTTCTTAGGGGGTTTCAATGCACATGTGTGCTATATCTTTGTAGCATTACTTGTGTGTCAAAATGGCCAATTTGTGTAGTTCTCAGACAGTTGTGTTCTGCTTTTTTTTTGTTTTGTTTTGTTTTGCAGTGAAAAACTGGGTGAAGTTTTTAAGGGAAGGGAGAAATGCATATTTAGCCCATTACCTTTTTTTTTTTCCCAGTGTTAAGATATTTAAGATTTTTTATTATTTATTTATTTATTTTTGGCAGAACCAGGGATTGAACTCAGGACTTTATGCTTGCCAGGCAAACACTTATTCTACTGAGCCATCTCCCTGGCCCCCAAGATTTTTAAATTTTTAACTTTAATTTGTGATACAAGTTGTATATAGAAACATTCTGGTTGAAAACTTTATGGTAATATAATAGTCTTAACTTGGTTTTTCTTCAAACTTAAGTTCCTTTTCTAGAAAGGAGCAGTTAATAATTTAATACGGGCCCAGTCAGGTCTTCTCTTCTCTTCTCTTCTCTTCTCTTCTCTTCTCTTCTCTTCTCTTCTCTTCTCTTCTCTTTTCTTTCTTTCTTTCTTTCTTTCTTTCTTTCTTTCTTTCTTTTTCTTTCACTTTGTAAGTATATACCTATGGAAGCATATTTGTACATAGAGAAATAAAATTTTAGTTTGTCTTGTGAATATTTAACATGTGATCTTATTTCTTTATCACTTGTTTTTCACTAACCTGAGATCTTTTTCTTAACAACACATTTAGATCTACTCTCCTTTTTGATGTTTCTTGGTAGTCCTTAGGATGAAATTTCCTTCTTGCTCTTCATTTTTTCATTGTTAGAAATACTGGCAGACTGTGATGGTGCATGCCTAGTAATCTCAGTACTGAGGAAGGTGAATCCAGAGTTCAAGCCAGTCAGGACTACACAGCCAGGCACTCCAATATGAAACAAAACGGGCCACAAGGAAAAAGGCTCAGAGAGCTTGAATGGCTTGCTCCGGGTATCATAGAGAGAGAGGTCACAGAGGGTCTCTTGTGAGGGTATCCTGGTTTTATATTCTGTTGTGTGGGAATATGTTTCTGTGATCAGTGCTTAAAGGTAAAAGGTATATGTATTTTAAGTAAATTATATATATGTATATACATATATAGTAGTAAAATGAATATTAATGAATGATAAAGTAAATAATGGATTGTCTTTTTTCGGGGGCAGTACTGGGCATTGACTCTCCAGGGCCTTATGTGTGTTTGTAAACATTCACTCTTATCACTTTCCTGCCCCTTCAGCCTATAACTTAAGCGATGTTTTTGCGGGTTGGGTGGTTGAGACAGGTTTTCATGGTGTAATTCAGATTGGCCTTGAAGTCACTGTGGAGCCCAGGTTGGACTTGTGGCCGTCCTGCCTCAGCCATCCGAATGCTGGAATTACAGGTGTGCATCATGGTGCCGGTGACTTAAGCTATTTTTGAATGTTAGTTAGCTGATGGGTAATATATCTAGTACATCTGAACATGTCAGTATAGCTGCACAAAGAGAGAGTTTTGTTTGTTTGGATGTGAGCGTTAAGTGTATTGTTTTGCTTCTTATCCTGGCACTTGTGCAGGCTACATGCTTGGAATGAGAACAGTTAATCCTTTGTAGAACAGACAGTATACTGCTACCACTCAGGATACTTCTGCCTTATTTTGGAGCAGACCTTGTCTTTTGTACTTGCACAGGCTTAGGAACTCAATGACATACAGTAGCCTAACAAGCAGACATGGTCTATGTAGCCTGCTTCTGCTCCTTCAAATATGGCTTAGTAAGTCATTTAACTTCTCTGAGTTTTCAGTATTAAATTGAACAGCTATGTTTCAGACTCATATACAAGTGTGCCTTGATATCGAAGTCTGTTTGATTGCTGTTTGGATATCCAGCCTTCAGAAAATAAGTTGGAGTATCCAGAAGATCAGTGTATTCCTGATAAATTCTGATTCTGGGTTTTGGGTAGCAAGTAGTGAAAATTTCACTAGTAAGGGATGTGAAAGTTTAGGCAAATTGATTGAGTTCCTGAGTTTCCATAGGATGTGGGCACTGAGTCTGGATATCGAAGAAAAATTCTAAGTATATAATTTTAGTTTGTATATATGGAGAAGCCTTGTGTATCATGCTCAGCACTGCTCAGTGGTGCAGATTGCAAGCTTTCACAGCTCTAGCAGCCCCTGCTGGCACAGGTCTAGAGTTCGCTGTGTCTGACAGGAATTTGAGCCCAGACCCAGACTTTTTAAATGTGATTTGTTCATCTTTCTATCTGTGGCACAGAATTGTGCATAAGTTGATGATAATGTAGTTGATGATTTTGATCCTTTTAAAAACTATTAGAAGTTAAAATGGGAAATTAAAATTTTATTTATTTATTTGCTTATTTTGAGACAAGGTCTTGTTGTGTAGTTTAGGCTGGCCTCAAATTTTCGGTGACCCTCCTGCCTCAACCTCCTAAGATTATAGGCGTGTGCCACTATAGTTGGCTAAAATTTTATTCTTTTTTTTGTATTTTACGGAGGGGTCTACAGGGTGTTTATGGTCTTGCTACTAGATTGGACTCATAGTGATCTGCCTGTTTACAACCTCCCAAGAGCTGGGATTATAGGTGCGCGCCAGTCTCTATTGCCATCTCAGCATACCCCAGGGGTGGGGCCAGCGTGGCAGGCCTGGGGATCGAACCCCTGGCCCCTGCACCTGCTTGCAGTCGTTTTAATCCGCTGAGCTATTTGGCTGGCCCTAAAATTTTATTCTTTTAAAAATAGTTCCTCCAATATTTTACAAAAAGATGTTTATTATATTATTTTAAGCTGAAGACGGGGAGAAAATTAAAAAGTAGATTTTAAAAGTGAAAGGTATCCACAAGTAAAGGTTTTAATTTCCATAGATTTTTCTCTTTTGTGTGGTATATTTTAATGGGTTTCCGAAAGGCTTTTCTAACCTTTTATTGGCTTTTAGCTAAACATGAAAGTGAAAGTGCTATTGCATATCAGGTCCACTTTTGAAGTTAGGTTTAACCATAAACCAGTATAGCTGACTTAATGTACAAGACCTAAAAGCAAAGTTGAAGTAAGAATATTCCATAGCGATGCCTAGGGATTCCCCTTGCACTGGATTCTCATCAGTGTCTGGTCCTGGAAAAGCTTTCTGTTGAACATGAAGTGAATAGATTGTCAGTTACTTAGTACCTTCTGCAAAAAGCCATTGAAAAATATTTGCTACTCAATTCCTTGATTTTTATTGTTTTGTGGTCAAGGGGACTGAACCTAGGGGCTTGCTCCTCAACAATTGGGCTACATCCCTTTCTCCCCCTTTGAAAAATATTTATTTTGTGACAGGGTCTTGTTACGTCGTCCAGGGCGACTTGGAACTTGCACTCTTGCGCTCTTCTTGTCTCAGCCTCCTGGAGAGCCGGGATCATACCATGGTTGACATCCCATTTGGTTCTTACTGAAATTTTTAATAGTGTTCTGTGGACTTAAAAATAACCTATGGATGTACCTTCTAAAGAATACAGTGAAAAATTCATTTGTTTGAGAGAAACCATCTGTTTTATACTTTTTGGACATTTCAAATGTGTATTATTAAAATTATTAAATGTTATTGATTTTATCAGTAAATCTGAATTATTTGTTTTTAGGGTCCTGATGAAGAAGCTGTTGTTGATCTTGGCAAAACCAGCTCAGCTGTGAACACCAAATTTGAAAAAGAAGAACTAGAAAGTAGGTTTGTTTAAAACAACTTACTGTGCTTAGCAGAATGAGTTATTAACTAAATTTTGTTAATGTCTTTTAAGTTCTGCCTACTGTTTGTTTTTTGAAAAACTTTTTGGTTGTTGTTTGGTACCAGGGATCAAACTTGGGGCCTTGTGCTTGCCAGGCAGGTTCTTGTTCCACTGAGCTATCTCCCCGGCCCCCCAAAAGTTTTTGTTGTGAGGTAGAATACACATTTAGAAGAATGTTTGACAGTTTTCTAGCATGGTTTCATCTTGTGGCAGTTATCCATGTAAGTACTAACTGTGTCTAAAACTAGAACATTGTTGAATTATTCTGTTGTAGAAGCATTCATGTAAGATGGATTTGAGAAAGACTTTCAGACTTACAGGTAGTTACCATTTCTTGGAAAATTGAAAGACTACAATTACAAAATAAGTTAATTCCTTTATTTATTTGGTTTTTACTTCTGGTAGGCTTGGTAATTTGTGGGAAAGCTAGAGTGCCAGACTAATACGCTATAGTTATCATTAGTGGTCATCTAAATGTTCATTTTGTAAGCCTATAACAATCAGCCTTTTAAAATGCTACAATAACTTCTGCATAGAAGGAGGAGCAAATGGTTTCTTTCCTAAGTGGGTAGAGATCCGAGCAAATGATTTGTTTTCTTTTCCTTTGCAATAATTTTTGATTTGCATAATAGGGCGCCAAGATAGTAGAGAGCAGGCCCATGTATACTTCACCCTGATTCTGTGGATGTCATAGGATATTTGTTCAAATGCAGATGACACTAGCTCATTGCTAAATTAATTAATAATTGCTGGTCTACAATGAATTAAACCACAGTTTTGATTTGGAGTTTATTGGTTTTTATACTAACGTTTTTTTCTGTTCCATGATTCAGCAGCTCCTATAATTCGGGATCCTACCATAGTACTAACTCAGGACCTTGCACATGCCAGGCAGGCGCTTATGCCACTGAGCTATATCCCTGGCCCCTACAGTAGTACTTTTAATTGTTCTGTCTCCCTAGTCTCTTAATCTTCAACACTTTCCATTCTTTCTTCTCTTTCATGACTCCGATGCTTGTGAAGGGGAGCGGTAGGCATTTCTTACAGTGACCCTTGGTTTGGGCTTGTGCTCCTATGACCACGAGTAGACTGAGCGTGGATCATGTACTGCAGGAGTATGCTCACCTCCTTGCACTTTCTCTGTCGACTGGTGATAGTAATGTACTTTAATGTTGGTTATTACGTTAAGGCTCAATTCTTGGCTAAAGTATTCAGAGCCAATGATTTATAGACATTTTGGGGCCTTTTAAGTAACTGCTTTCTTTGTTGTTAGTGGTGGCTGGTTTCATGTGAGATTGTTGATTTTAAAAGAGATGGAAAGAGATGTAAGAATTCTCATTTACATCTGAGATTTTTAAAAAACTAACAAAAGTGACTTTAGAAATCTAGGCTTATTAGGGCTATTGGGTCTATTGTATATTGTAACAGAGGGCACTACAGCCAAATCAAATGTAGGAACACAAGGTTCATTCTCCTTGTCTTTGGATTCTGTTGTATTCTTATTTATTTATTATAGCTAGACTTTCTGAACTACAGCCTCAGAATTTATTTGTATCTTGGAGCACTACAGTTTTATACCAAGACCTCCAGTGCTGACTGGAGTAACAGCTTTGTGATTCCCAGTGCATGGTGATGGGACTTGCTTTGTTAGGTATTTTTCTTGGTGTTCAACCAGAAATAGTTTCACTAAGGTAAAAGGATAAAATCAGCTATATTGTAGTGTTACTTTTTTTTATTAGAATATAATGTACAGTATAAAATTCACCATTTTAAAGCGTGCAGTTCATTGCTTACATTAACTGTGTCTTATAGCCTGCAGTCAGTCTGCCTGTGCCCCTGCCCTCCCCTCCACCATCCTACTTGGGCTTGGACCAGGACCTTTACGCTGACACAGATCCTCAGTTCTTTTTCATTTCTTTTGTTAACCCTGAAACACTGTCTTATTATGTGTTTAAGTTGCCCAGTCTGGGCTCAAATCTTGTCATCCTTCTGTCTCAGCCTACTAGAGTGCTGTGATTATAGGTATATGCAAATGCTCAGCTAATACCACCCTTAATCCCAGAAATAATCCTGTCATCTTTAAAATAAACCCTGTATAATCAATTTTTAAATTTGGAGTTTCTGGTAAAAAAATCTTTTTTTGGTCTAATTGAGATTTAATATCTGTGGACATTTATTGAGTATTAACTATGTGTTGGACAGTGCTAGGTTGTAGATGTGTAAACAAGTAATTTTAATAGTATGTTTCCATAAATTATCAATTTTTTAACTTTAAAAATTGCTTTTTTTAGGGGTGATACTAGGAATTGGACAAGGGGTGCTGTCCCGCTGAACTACTACATCTAGAACTTTTTATATTCTGCTTTGAGACTGGGTTTTGCTAAATGGCTCTGGCTGGCCTCAAATTTGTGATCCTCCCATGTCAGGCTCTGAACTAGCTGGGATTACAGGCATGTGTCACCACTGGGATACCTCAGTATCCCATTTTTCACCTTAGCAGGGAGTGTGAATCTCAGGCAACTCAAATATTTGCTAATTTTGCGCGTTCATAGATGACCTTTAAATCTTCCTAATATTGATTTTGTGGTTATAAGGGAGTTTTAGTAAATAAGCAGATTTGCAAGTATAGAATCAAAAAGATGTTGGAAATCAGCTGTACTATGACATCTCATCTAAGAATGAAGAGTTTCTTATTTTCTGAGCATCTCATAGGATTTGTTGGAAGAAGAGTGTGATCAACTTCATAATTCACTGCCTTTTTCAAATTTTGTGTATAAAGACAAAAAACAGCTCTATACCAGATATGTTTTGCATATTGTACACTAGTTGAATAGGTAGTCAGTCCATGTCCCTCTTTACTCAATACAGATAGGGCCTTCGTTTAAACTTTAAAGAAACCAAGTTCTTGTCTCTTAGTACTTGACAGAGCTGCCCACTCTCTGGTTCTCTGATTCAGTTTTATTTAATGGGCCCAAACAAACTGCCTTTTATAACAAACTCAGGATAATGTAGTATCTGTCAGTAGTATTGTTTGCTATTTCAAAGGCATGTAACAACTGTATTGATTTTTATTTATTCTTACAATTTCTACCCTTTAATTCGAGTATTTGGATCATTTACATTTAATGTAGCTCTTAGTAATTTGGAACTTGCCATGAGCATAATATTCTGTGTGGTGCTTTGTAAAATAAGGAAAGTCATGGGAGATTGCCATTGTTAATTATGTTTACTTGTATATAATTCTTTGTTGCCAGAGTAAATTCTGATGTACTTTCGTGGATGCCATATTGTTCCCTTTCAAAAGTTAGTAATACATTTCTGAATCTGTTACTAGGTCACCGAGCAGTATATATTGGCGTTCATGTACCATTTAGTAAAGAGAGTCGTCGGCGTCATAGGCATCGTGGACACAAACATCACCACCGGAGAAGAAAAGATAAAGAATCTGATAAAGAAGATGGAAGGGAATCTCCTTCTTATGGTAAGAGAAAATAGGTATTCTCTTTAACAGGTTAGCTTTTTCCTGGAAAAATATCGTTTTTTTTGTTTTTTTTTTCGGAACTAGGGATTGAACTCAGGCCCATGTGTTTGCCAGGCACGCACTTATTCTACTGAGCCATCTCCTTGGCCCCTGGAAAAATATCATATATTTTATTATATTGTTTATTTTATTTTATTTTATTTTTTATGTTTTATTTTTTTCTTTTTTTAAAATTAATTTTATTGAGAAACAAATAGCAATGAGACAGTTTCAGGACCGATTAGGACAGTTTCAGTAATACATTGCATATTGTTGTCTCCATAGTGGTTATTCATAGTACAAGATGCAGACATGATATCCTGTCCAAACACTCTTAGTACAAATCTTTCTTCTCATTGAACTAGGAGAAAGTAGCTGTATATCTTTTTTTTTTTTTCTCTACCGGGGATTGAACTCAGGACCTTGCACTTGCCAGGCAAGTGCTTATTCTACTGAGCTACCTCCCTGGCCCTGTATATCTATCTTAACTATTTTGTATATACAGATACGAAATGGTCCCTCGTTTTTATCCCCTTTTTTTGTTTAGTTTTGTCAGAGAGGGGTATTCCCTTGCCATTTAAATACTGTAGGTGTGTGAATTCAGCAAAATAATCCATATATTGTTTATTTTAATAACTTCATATCTGCAGAGTAATTTAGCACTTTATATATTGGGGGGTACTAATAATGGAAGTAAGATTATTTTTAAGTAAGGGAAGTATTTTGTTAATAGGTTAAGATCTCCTTAGTATAAGTGAAAAAAATTAAGGATTTTGTTTCTTTATTGCATTTCAGCCTCAGCATTATAAATTTTGTCATTTACCTTTAAATTTAGTAGGGCTTTATTTCCTGTTATTTGCCATATAGTTCAGTGCCTACGTATGTGTTGAATAGACATCCTGGACTATACTGATTTTGTGTGTGTGTGTGTGTGTGTGTGTGTGTGTGTACCTTTTTAAAATCACTCTTTTTTGGCTGCAAGATCTTATCCATTAGGCTAGTAAAGTTACGTAAATTGTACTGCTGTTGACAGCGTGCGCTATTCTTTAGGTAAGTTTTGTGAAGAGACATGGAAGGACAATCTTACTGTGGGTAATAGAACTACACCATGAGCAAAGTTACAGACATGAAGATAGGTAGGTAGGTGGATTGGATTTTTTTTAAGATATGGGCTGACCTTGATCGTTTTGCCTTGTTCTCCTGAGTGCTGGGCTTACGGTTGTGCACTATAATGCCTGGCTGGCTAACGAAGATAGCAACTAGGTTTTGAAACATACTTCTTTAATTTTCTCAATAATTGTTTTTTCTCTCTCTCTCTCTCTCTTTTTTAGTTCTGAGAATTGAACATAGAGCCTCGTACATACTAGGTAATAGAACCTTTTTTTGTGTTTGTGATACTGGGGATTGAACTCAGGACCTTGCTCTTGCCAGGCAGGTGCTTATTCTACTGAGCTATCTTCTCAGCCCCTTATCGAGCCTTATACATGCATGGGCTCTATCACTTAGCTACACTCTTAGCCATTTCTCAAGAGTTTCAGAAGAGATCTTATTATTTTCGTTTATGGATTAGAAAACTTTAGCTGTGAGAGACTAAAGGGGATCTGTTAACCTCTGCTAAGAGACATTGATGACCTAATACAGTATTAAGTGGTCATGCTGCTGACAAAGGTCATGTAGCTAGCAAAAGGATAATGAATACTGAATTTAGAAAGCAACACTACTGAGTTTTGATGCTATAAAGTGACTTAGAAGAATTTTTCTGTTACATACAATATTCCTATCCACTTTAAGATAGCTTAGGGTCATTTGTGATTACACATATTATACTTCCATGATTCATGTTGAATAAAAAGGCATGTGATATTTTTATGGATTAAACTTAAACTGTTTGTATGTTCACTGAAGTAACAATGTTTCAAGCAGAAATAATGGAAAATATAAATTATTGTGTTGGAAATATTTGACTTTTTATCTCTACCCATCTATGTGTAGTAGTGGAGAATGAATCCAGGGCAGTGTGCATGCTTAGGTGAGTGTTCTAATGCTGAGCTGCATCCCCGAAATGTTTATTGTGAGGTAGGATCTCACTGAGCTGCGCACACCGACCCCAGACTTATGATCCTTCTACCTCAGAGTCTCAAGTATTGAATAGTTAATCTAGTGATTATTCCTAGGAAAGGTGTTCCTGCAGTGGGTTCATTTAGACCCTATCAAGTCCTTTTCTTTCGTGTTTCAAAGAGTTTACACACAGCTTTTGCTGTTAGACTTGTTGAAAATACAGATTGAATTTTCTCTCCCAGTTGACTATGCAGTTTATTTTGTTGTTGTTATTTTCCCACTGCCCCCTCAGCTTTATTAAATTAAAATTCTTGAATAAAGACTGTGTATTTAAGGTATACATTATATATTTACACATTGTGAGATGACTACCACACCAAGTTGGTCAGTGCAGCTATCACTTCATAGTTTTTGTTTCTGATAAGGAAAAATCTACCATTTTAGCAAATTTCACCTGTGCAATATAAGCTATAGATATCATGTTGTGCATTATGTCCCCAGAATTTATTCATCTCATGACTGAAGTTTGAACTGACCTCTGATTTTAAATAGCTAGACAGCTGGATGAGATACATGCTGATAGTTCCAGGCATTGCGCAGTGCACAGCACAGACTCCTGGTTGAGTGGAGATGCAGGTGAGCTTAAGTCCTGCGGTTGCCCAAGCTCACTGGCTGGAAACAGTCTCAGGCTGCAGCACAGCAAAGGGGTCCTGGCAAGAGCCAGCAGGGCTTGCAGCAGTCATGGGTTAAGGAAGCTGTACATCAGGAAGCAGAGGATAATTTGAACTCACTGGAAATAAAATCACAAGAGGCAAATAATGAAGATAGTCTTAACAACTGAGGATGTGGTTCTTATAATGGACATACTCATTTAGCAAAGGGAAATAAACGCAATTAAAGCAGTGCTTAAAGGACTGTCCATGCCATTGAATTATATTAGAAAAGGCTGGAAATAAGTAATTTAAGCTTTTAAGTTAAAACACTAAGGAAAATGTAGAGAGAAACCCAAAAGAAAGAGAAATCAGATCACTAATGAATGAAATCAGAACCAGAAAAAGAATATAAAAATCAGTCAGATCAAAATCTGGTTCTCTGGACAGACAAAATAAAATCAATAAACTTCTAGCTAGTCTGGACAGAGGGAAAAAAAGAGGTGTACACTGTAAGTATCCAGAATTTTCTATATGGACCCTATAGAAAGACAAATTTGGGAACATTATAAATGTCTTCATGCCAACAAAATTGATAGTTTAGATTAAATGGACATATACTTTAAGAACATAAACTACTGGAAATGTTTTCAAAGTATGTACAAAAGAAATGGAATTTGTAGTTTAAAGCATTCTCAGAATGAATTTCCTACCAGATAATGAAGGATGAATTGAGACATGGAAGAAAGAAATTATATAGTCTTTGCTAGAAAATTTAAGAGAAAGGAATACTTTATTTTATTAATGCAGTATTACTTTAATATCAAGACTAGGCAGAGATGTTATATAAAATTATAACTATAGGCAAAATGTTTTTTGGAATATAGATTCAGAAATCCTAAAGAAAATAAAAACAAATCTTATCCCATCAGTATTTTAAAAAGATAATTTATTGTGGTAGATACAGGCTGGAAAATGGCCCCTAAGATGTTTTATGTCCTGATCCCTGAACCTGGGAGTACTGTACTTAATTAATGCAGAATGTTTGGTGCAGATGTAATTAAGGAAAATAGTTGGAAATGGAGGCTTACTATTCTAGGTCATGTAGAAAGGCCTGAAACAATCAGGCAGGCTCGGGTAAGTGGAAATCAGTGTGTTAACAGGAGTTAGATTGACCAAAACTGCACATGGTTGTGGTGAGGATCTATTGTGAAAAAATATAGGCAGCCTTTAGATCTAGAAAAAGTAAGGCTATTTATTGTCCCCAAAGAAGTGCCAGGAAGAACAACTAGCTGTACCAGCAGAATAGTTTTGTGTTTTGAGATAGGGTTACCCTATGCAGTTCAGGATGGCCTTGAACTCACTTTGTAGCCCAGGCTGTCCTTGAACTTGTGGAGATTCTCCTGCCTCATCCTCCCAAGCACTGGGATTACAGGTGTGCACTATCACACCCAGCACCAACAGTATATTTTTAGCTTTGTAAGACTTGTTTTGGACTATTGATGGCCAGGAGTGTAAGAATTACAAAATAAATTTGTGTTGTTTAAGCCTCCAGTTTTGTGGTAATATATTAAAGCAAAAATAGGACACTAATATGATGACTGAGTAGAAATATACAGTTGTTTAAAAGTTAAGCATGTATCAGTGTAAGTATACCTATAATTGCATAAAGGAGAAAAGTCAGACATTTATTATAGTAGGCGCCAAATAAACCTCCAAAATAATTTCAGCTCCATTTCCTAACAAAACTAAGCAAACTAGGAATAGAAGGAAACTTCTTCAACCCAATGAAAGGCAGCTATAAAGAAAAAAAGTACAGTAAGTATCACATTTAATATTGGAAGGTTGAGTGCTTTCTCCCTATGATTCGGGAACAAGTAAGGATGGCCTCTTTCACCACTTTCAGGTAGTGATGGACTAGAGGACCTCGCTAGTGGCATAGGCAGGAGAAAGGACGCATAGGCTTGCATTGGAAGGAGTAAAATTGTCTGTTCTCAAATAGAGAGGGTCACGCTGGTAGCAAATCCTAGCAGTTTATAAAACTACAGAACTGAGCTGTATTTTAAATGGTTTGTTTTATATAAAATCTTCATACATTTTTTGATGAGTGAAAAAACAAATTGCCAAGTTCAAAAAATAATGATCCCAAAATCTATCTGACAGGTTTCCAGTGTGTGTGTGACACAGGTCTTCCTGCGGAAGGAGCACCCCAGCTGTGCAGAACAAACAAAGCATACGTGAATGTGCTGCTTTTATACGTTTCTTGCTGGAGTTGATCTTTCAGTCATTTTGCTTTTGTGCTTTCTGTCTTGTCTTTTTCTTTTTCTCTGTAGTTTCTTCAGATTTGTCTTTTCCTTTAAGTATTCCTTCTCATCTGGTCTTTGTATTCTACCTGTTCTGATAACCTGTTACATCTGCAATTCATCTCATGTTCAGCAGAGTTTCATTTTGCTTTTAATTGCAAGTCTTAAGGTTTTTTCCTGTCCTCAATTATTTTTGCCACCTTTGGGGACCGGTAGTATCCATGTCTGTTTGTCTCAGGGGTGGTGAGTGGGTATCTGTTTCTTGCAGTGACTTTTCCTACCTCCTTCCTCCAGCTGACAGTCTTGTTTCTCCCTCATTGGAGAAAAAGTTGGCTTCTGTACAACTGAGCTTATTTGTGTTTGTTTGAGAGTAGTTACCAATTTAGTTCGACTTATTTTTAATGGTTTTTTTTTCCTCTGATTTGATAATCTTTTTGTGGTACTTTCTTTTTTCAGGGTGAGTCTGGATCGTTGGTCTTGGTTTTCTTCTAAAATTATATTTTAAGAGTTTTAAAAAAGTTTTAGATAGGTTCGTTTATAACAAAAGTGTTTGAATTTGTAAACTGAACCTGTATTTGAATGAGTTGAGGAAAACAGTGAGTGTACCTCCTTTTCATTTTGTGCAGACACACCATCCCAGCGGGTGCAGTTCATCCTCGGCACAGAGGACGACGACGAGGAGCATATCCCCCACGACCTCTTCACAGAGATGGACGAGCTGTGCTACAGGGATGGGGAGGAGTGTGAGTGGAAGGAAACGGCGAGGTGAGGTGGCCGAGGGGTAGGGCTTGCAGATGGCTTGAGCTTTGTGTGGTTTCTCTTGGTAATAAGAATATTAAATTAAAATTAGGAGATCCAGCTGGTGCTTTAGACGTTTAGCAGAGAATTTCTTTGTCAGTGTCTGGAAATTTCATGTTTACTTTTCCCCCTCTGCTCTCAAAATTTTTTCTTAAATAATCCTTTCTTTAAAGTGATACAAATGAATTATGTTGTTAGAGATTTTAGTGAGTCTTTTGTTGAACAAAATTTAAAAAAAAAATCAGTCTTTTTAAATTTTTTTCTTTCTTAAGACAGAGTTTCACTGTATATAGTCCAGGCCAGCCTTAAATTTGCTATGTAACTGAGACTGACCTTAAATTTGAGATCTTCCCTTCTTAACCTCCTTTTAGTTTATTTTTTAATGAATTGAGGAAATCTTTGGGATGCAAGCATGTGCCAGCTGGGCCTTGCCCAAATACAAAAATCTTATGTGAAGATCGGTAGTGTAAAAGGGGACTTGAAGGGGGTGGCATATTGAAGTCTCTACTTTTGTTTCCATCGGCTTATTATTGTGACAGCTAGAACAGAGCATGTGACTATCGCCACTGTAGACATTGACCTAACTTGTGAAAATGTGCTTGTAAAGAAAATTCTTTGCTGGTGGTAATTTTCTTGGTTTCTTTTTAAAATAACAAATTTATGTTTATTATATGAAAAACACATGGAATAATTTTATACAGTATTTTTACTTATTAATTGTTCAGATGGCTGAAATTCGAAGAGGATGTTGAAGATGGTGGTGACCGATGGAGTAAACCTTATGTGGCAACATTGTCTTTGCATAGTCTTTTTGAGCTGAGGAGCTGCATCCTAAATGGGACAGTAATGCTGGACATGAGAGCAAGCACTCTAGATGAAATAGCAGGTAACCTTCTATGAGGTGTACTGAGGCGGCATCCTATGGGGCATGCTGCCAATTTTGTCATAAAGATACATAGTTGTGAGTCTGTAATATCCGTGTTTATTTTTTAGAGGATTTGTACTGATGGATTATTAATTTTAATTTGAGCTTTGTTACATTAAACAATACTTAACAGGAAAAAATGTCAAAATATGAAGTATTGAATTTTTAGTATTTATTGAGAGTTTATAAAAAGCATAAAAATTTTAAATACTCAACTATTTTTTGGTGTACAGTCTTAAAAAGAAAAGAAATTCTTATGTAAACTACTATAAAAATAGCAATAGAACCCAAAAAATAAACGGTCTTTACTTCAGTTGGTACACCCAAGGCAGCCTTTACACATGACAGCATCATGTTCTGTACACACTTATTGCTTACACTGATAGCACACATGTTTTGCTTTGCTGGCCTTCTTGTAGGACGTACTTGCCATCTTGCTGGTCTTGTTGCTTAGGAGGTTCGCGTTATATTACACATACTGTATTTAACAGGAATATAAAATACCATTGGAATAAAGTTTTCTTGTTTGTATTACACGTTTAGAATAAATGTCAACATTTTCACATCAGCTGTGTACTTGCTTGTAAAACTTAAAAGGTAACATCAGAAATAAATTCCTATATGATCTACAATGAAAATACCTATAGAGCTCTCTGACAAAAATAATCTTTACTTCAGTTGTCATGCCCCAGGTGGTCTTCATGCAAGGCAGCAGCATGTTCCTTGCACACATCTTGCTCATGGTGACAGCATGTGTGCACTTTCCTGTGTGTCAAGCTGCTCTTGTCACCTTGCTGGTCTTCCTGTTTTGTCAGGAACTTTCTACTCTATTATATCCTGTGTACTTAGCAGGAAAGTACAATATCAATAAAATAAAATATCAAATATATACTGAGTTCTTAGACTAGACATCAACATTTTTGCATCAGCTGTTTAGTTGTTTACAAAATCTGATAGATAATATCAGAAGCAGGCATCCATGTGAATTATGGAGTAATACAAACAAAGCTCTACCATAAAAATAGCCTTCAACTGTTGTACCCATTGCAGTTTTCACATATGACAGCCACCTGTTCTGTACACAAGTACTGCTTACTGATAGCACATATATTTTGTTTTCTTGTCTTGTGTTGTAGGGCATAGTTGACATCTTTTTGGTTTTGCTGTTGTTGTAATGGGTCTTTGTGATGTGTAGCCTGCCCATTTATTTGTCAGCTCACTGATGTGCTGCTCAGTTTTTTGTGTAATTCCTTAGGCAGAATGATTTTGTTTTATATCTGCTGTAAATGATCTCTTATGAGTTCTGGTCCCAATCCTTTTAAGAAAATTTCTCCATTTTATATATATATGTCAAACTTTGCCAGACATGTTTCAGATCAAATAAAACACAACCACTGGCCAACACTTTGTGTTTTGAGTTGCTGCATAACTCATTAATAAATCTATGCTACTTTTGATTTTTTTGTGGGAAGTTACCATCTCAGGCTTGCATTTTTTTTTAAATTTTTTATTCATGTATGTGTGTGTGTGTGTGTGGCCAGCTCAGCCCACCAGGGGGCGGGGGCTTGCTGGCATGTGGTGCTGGGGGATTGAACCGCGGTCCCTGTGCTTTGCTAAGCTTGTTCTAAATAGGTGCTTTAGACCACTGAGCCATCTCACCAGCCCCTCAAGCTTGCATTTTGTCAAAGCTTCTCTAGCAATATTTCCATCATGGTGCAGTGTTAACATTAGCAGTACCCGTTTGCCATATATGAGATCATTGTTATATCTTTCTGAAATCCAAAGATTGTACTGTACAAGTTTCTGTTTTGAAATTGCAACTATCCATTTGGAATTTCTGTTCCTATGCTTGTCAACTTGTGCCTGGTTAGCAAATGTAACATGAATTGGAAACTCGTAAACCGATTTGTCAAATTTCACATTTCAGTTAGTTTGGGAGATGAGAGAAACAAGTCTGTTATTCACAACATCGTTCAGCTTATTACTATGTGAATAAGGTTCTGGTGAGTGGGTTCCAAGTTAAATTTCTAAATTGAAAGCATAGTAAGTCTTTGTCATATTTTGAAGTGGGTTTTTTTTTTTTTTGCATATACTGTCTGCAGCCACAATGACCAGGAAATGCTGCAAGATATTCATCAATAGTCATGTATTCAAATGGCATATAAATTGTTTGACAACTACCCACAAATGTCTCAACCAGGGAACAGATAGCAGTCATGTTATCAACTCTTCTTCTTTCTTGGCTGGTGATTTTATTATCAAACCTCAGATAATTCTGAAGGAAACCAATTCTTTTCAGTGTCATTGTTATTCTACAAACCTCAAGCCCATGCCCACTTTTGAAACTTTAAACCCATCCCCACTTTTACATAAGTCTTTCACATTCCTGCAGTTACTGAGAGAAAGCCCTGCTAAATACAACAGACCTCTGGATGCTTTCAGTTCAGATAGTGAGTGTCGTAGTAAATACATTTTTGAGTATGGCTATTGATGCATACAGAACATTGTCCTTGTATTTAAGCATTTGTGTATTTCACATCTTGAAGCATTTTGTTTGATACAGTGTCCAACACTGAATGGTAGTACTGGCCTTCCGTCCAATAGGTTTCAGCCCTGCAAAGATCCTTACCATATTTTTGGACCTAGTTCTAACACTGGACTTTGGATTTGGTTGTGTAATCATTTTGTACCATTTTGACTAGTAACTTATGTGTTTACATTGCTTTTTTCTTACATCTGAATCAAGAAGGTCTACATTCCCTGTGTCTCTATTGGTTGGTTCTTGCTCCATTTCATTCCATTGTCACAAGAACTTTAGCTCTAATGGCCAGTGGCAAAGTTATTATCATCTTTATTACTCATGCAAGAGTAATCTGATGATTCATTTTCTCCTTCATCCAAAACTTGTAAATCTGGTTTTTCTTCCATTATACTAATTGGACTGCTTCTATCAGAAAAATAAAAAAAAAAAAAACCTGTTTTGAAAAACATTCTAAATGCATAGAAATTTAGCATTGAGCATTTCATGGGTAGAACTTACGTGTTGCTGCTTTGGAGCTCCTGTGTACACCTTGCTGTTTGGCTGCCAAGATGAATTTTTGCCTTTCTCAAGCATAGCTTATTGAATCACACCCACATTCTATTAGGGTAAAATACATATTTATAGAACAGAAAAGTTGTGTGGGTATGTTTTACCCCTTGTGATGCTCAGGTAAAACAAAATGCAAAATCTGTTAGCCAGACTATTGTGTGGGTAGAAATCCCAGGTTGACACTTTTGCCTGTGTGCACATACTTTGCCCTTTGTGCTAGCACAAAGATTGCTTCCTGTATTCTCCAGGCACAGCCTAAGAGCCACACAGCTAGCTACTATTAAAGTCAAAATCACAGTAGAAAAGTAAGAGTAGGTTATATTGTAAAATCCAGTGTTAAGCCAAGGAAACAAATAATGAAAATAAAGTGACATTTTAGGTACTTAACAATGGTATATTCAACTTCTTTTACTGTCTAGGTGGAAAGAGGAATTGTCACAAATAAAGATAACATTTTTTGTCTTAGAAAAGTTTAGAGAAGGTGGATAAATTAGACAGTGATTGTTGTCATGAATAGAGTTTATTTTCTGAAAATTTGGGAAAAACGTTCTTTTTCTGTTTTTGTTTTTGTTTTTCCTTTTGGAACAAGTTGTCTAAGGAAGATCTACAAAGAGCTTACTCATCGACTGAGTACCTTCAATAAGAACAGATAGTGCAAGAAAAAGTGTTCTAAGGAAGAGGTAGAGCATGAGGCAAAGTCTAGAGACATAGAAGCAGGCATGGTTCAGTTTCACAAAAGCACACAGATTTCATGAACCATTTGTAGGAAACATGTTGGGAAAATAAAGATGTGTTATTAGTAGCCTTGAATTATTGAGATAAGAAATTAGATTGTAGTTGGTAGCTATTTTGACAGTATTTCTGGTTTTTAAGTTGGGGACTTGTGATCATGAGGTATTCTTCAGGAAGATTATTTTCCCAATTGAATATAGGTTGGCTTAGGGTGGCTATGCACTGGTGATCCTCGTGCTTTAAACTCGCAGGTACAGTAGCTGGGATTTTAGGCATAAACCACCGCACTCTGCTGTGGGTGCCTTTGGATTAGAAAGAGGTTAGAAACAAGTTCTCTAGTTGCTGTCTTCGAATTATTCAAGCAAGAAATTGATGATGGTGATAGGTATAATATGCAAGTGTAGAGAGATTTGAAGGATCATATACAAGTAGAAGGAGGGAAAAGGCAGCTACGATACAGTTATCTGGCCACTGACTGTAAATCGTCAAAACCCCAGATCAAATGAAACAGTAATGAGTTTGACAGTGTGATTGTTGCTGTAAATTGCTCCCTTAGAAAAAGAAAAACATCCATGTTTGATTGTCTGGAGAACTATAAGCTTAACTGGGATTTCTCAAAAGTTTAGTTTTACCTGAGTGTTGTATTTGACCATGTGCTGCAGATGTTTAAGTTGCTGAAGTCATTTCTGAAACGAATGACTAAAAAACTGCGTCAATATGAGGAATATGAATGTGGACATCCAGGTTTTAGTTGGGCATTACAGTTATCACACAGTACAGTGTGGTACATACTTTTGTAAGTGTGGTGGTAGTATGGAGTTCACATGTTAGTAAGCTGTCATCACTGTGTTATTACAGTTTTTTTTTTTTTAATTTTATTTATGTGTGTGTGTGGCCAGCTCGGCCCACCAAGGGGCAGGGCTGGCTGGCATGTGGTGCTGGGGGATTGAACCGAGGTCCCTGTGCTTTGCTAAGCTTGTTCTAAGTCGGTGCTTTAGACGACTGAGCCATCTCACCAGCCCAAAAATGGCAGAAGTGTTTGTTTTTTTTTCTCCAAATGCCTTCAAGGCATGACTGGCTGGCTTGTGTTGTGGGGATTGAACCACAGCAACCTGAGCCTGACTGCTTTGTTGAAGCAGCCACTTTAAAGAACGGAGCTAAGGGGCAGGCCCCCACTGTGTTATTACAATTTACCTGTGGGGTTCATTCTTTCAGGTTTTTTTTTTTTTTT